TATTTTCAGCTAGTGATTCACGCTGCACCGTATCGTCGAAATATACTGAAAGCAGTTGCTCTCGGAAAGGATGGTCTTGATCATGTTTGTATTGAACATATCTCCAATCATTTGGATAACTTTCGCACAAATGTTGGAGTGCTAGTTGATTACTACGTCGCCAAGAAACTTGAAACTCCTGCAGCATGATAAGGTGTAGGATTTCCGTTTGTAAATACCTTAAAACTAAGTTAATTTTCAGTTGTAATCCTTCATCTATAATTCAAAGTTGTTTAATTTATGTGATTGACTGTGATCTTTTTAAGTTTTAAGATGCCATTCCCATTTTGTGGCCAGATACCTTACATTATGAATCTGATTCGTATGTGCCAAAAAATACTTATGCATAACATGTTGTTCGTGAGTACATGAGGGTTCAGCCATACTTTATCAAATAGTGGTTTTGAAACAAGTCAATGAGACTCTCTCAATTCTAGATCAACCTTTCTCGTGTCCGACTTTCATCTGTTGGGTCTTCCGACCTCAACTTTTTCCGCGGACGAAATTCTTGTGAGTAAAGTCCTTCATAACTTCTTTTACGTGCACGTGAGTTACCACCCTGCTCTAATCTTGAACCGCCTGACGTTGATGGCACTTCATCATGAACACAGCAGCTCTAAATTGTGTCATTAGACAAGAGTTGGACATTTTATGAGTTTGCAGCTTACAGTGCCTCCTGCAGAAACCGTGTTCAGCACATCTGTTAAAAGATCACCGACTTCTTTTTCTGAACCTGGTGCAATTGACTGAAACATTCTCATTGAGCCATAAGAACTGCTGCAGATAGATACCGACCTGCGTGCAAACTAAGACCAGTTGCCTTATGCAGGATTTGAGAGACAAAATTTCGGAGCTTTGCTTCCTTATTTGTTTATCCTGTTGAGCTAACTTATCCATAACATTTTTGCGCCATTCGCATGTATCCAAATCTCTGCAACTGTCGGTAAGTGTTAAGCGCAGTTAGTATTGATAGAGCTCTCAAAACAAACACTTGCTGCGTTTTCTGATTTACTTTGATGAAGCTACCTTGATGGGGATGTGGTTGGTGTAGTAGATGCCCGGAACAGCGATGGATGGATTGTCATAAAGTATGAACTGGTTAAGGACCCCGATGTAGAGGTAGTGAGTGAAGGTTGTACATGCTCCTCGAAATGTTCCATAGCCATGCTAGTATAT